ATTTTAATAAAATGTCTGTATAAGTTAAATTTATGAATTTTTATTTAAAATATTAATGTTCTTTAGGGGTATTGTCATAACGGTGATATACTGACATGAATGTAACACACAAGGTACATGCCACATGACCTAATTTTGTAATATTAAGAGTATAGTTATTTGTGTTGATTTATACAATGAAAACTAAAAGCTGGCTTAGGATAAAAGGGTAGTATATTTCAAAGAGAAAAATTTTAAATATTTATAGTATTCTTCATACTTCTTATTGCTATGTTGCAAAGAATCTACAGACAAGATCAAATATGCTGAACCTGAGTGTCACGTGGATTCCTGATTCAATTTAAAGTACTTCTTTGAATTATATCCCTACCATCTTCTTGAAAATATTATATAATACAAAATGCAGGTAAATATATATGTGTGGCTAAACAAAACATAAAGCAAACATCTCAAATAAGCCAGCAAATAAAAAATAAAACATGAAAGCAGTGAAACAGATATGAGGGCCAGATAATTATTATTTTTGCAAAATACTGTGAGTATCAGTTTCAAAATTAAAAACAAAATCATGTACTTTGTAGTGAAAATTGTAAAGATATATTTCTCTAAATAAGCTATAAGCAAACAAATGAAACGACACAACTTTACAACATGTGTAATATGCAGTACATGCAACTTACACTTAGTTTTCTTAAAAAGTGACTCAGATGGTTATTGTTACCTGGCAAATTCCCCTTGTCCACCTGGACGTTTTCTCATATTAAATATGAAAAAGTTTATCAGGCAATATCGCTAGAAAAATATCTCAGCAAACACCACAAGCAGCAATATAAAACTTGAATTTTGTTGTTGTTGCTGTTGATTTGGGTTCAAGTCATGAAAAAGTCAAAAAAATAAAATGCACTTGGTGAATGCTGACTTTCTTTTATGTAAGAAAAGATAACTTTTTTCTCAAGAGCCTTAGAATTCATTGGAAACAACTAAATTGCTGTTCTATAATTTACCATTTTTCCTGGACATTTCAATTTTCTCAAATTTTCTCAAATTTACTCAAATTCACTACAAAACAAAGAACATCCTACTATTTCCATAAAATTTAAGATTTAAAATTTTACTGAAATTCATTACTTTTCAAACCTAATTGGGAGGTGGAAAAGCCACTTTTCCAGAACAAAATGACTCACATTTTGTACCTTTAGTTACATATTATTAAATGTTAAAATATTCTCCAGAAAGATGCAAATGAGTGAGGGCCAGAATACCTGAGGACTGAAAGATCACAGGAACTGGTAGAGTCACTGAAGTTTCAAAATATGCCAATAAACAAAGTCATGTTCTGTTGTTTATGCTTTATCTCTGCCATTGGCCTCCTTTTGGTATGAAATTATACATATATATATATATATATATATATATATATACACATATATATATATGATTAAGTATTTTCAAAAAACACACAGTGTATGTGTTTCTAGGATACTTATCAGCATTCATCTTCTCAATCTAGGTGAAAATATTCAAAAGCAAAATCAAAAGAGGGAGGCCCTATTAATGCTCAGACGTCATGTAGTTGTAAAAAGCACAGAAACAAAATCATAAGCCTTCTGTCATTATATGGCATAACCAAAGTGCAAATACACCCATTTCTGTAGATTTTGAGATATGAGACCCTCTGTCTTTGTTACCTGTGATGGAAGCTCCCTCTTGATTCCCACAGAAGTGTGTTTCTTTACATGGAGCTTGAGGTTTGGAGGGAAATTTATCCTTTTTGGAAAAGCTTTTGAACCTGTCCCTAAGGGGATTTCCAAGCAATTTTCTGATTATCCTTGAAGACTTTGAGAATTTAAAATAATATCTGGAGGTTATCCACTAATTGTCAGTGACTATAATCAACAATGATTTGTGCCATTCATTTCTTTAGTTGTGTAGTTCTGTGTTTATTTCACAATTCAGAAATCCCACCTATGAGTAATTGTGCAAAGTACTGATATCAGTACTGATATCTCCAATAGATTTTCATACTGTCAGGTTCATAACAACACAACATAATATGATCAAGCTGTGGAAAAACCTAATTACCTATTGATAGGGGAATATGTGAATAGTGGCTGATTCATGTGACGTATTACTCAGTGTTTAAAAGTAAATTCTGCAATATTCAGTAGCAAGAAGGAACCTTGAGAACATTATGCTACATTAAATAAGCCAGCAGTGAAGCAAATACAATAAATTCCCATTTATATAAGGTCTTAAAAATATAGAACCCAAAAAGGAAATGACAGTTGTTAAATTTCATCTGAGAGGAGAAAAAGGAGCTGCTAATAAATAAACATAAAATTTCAGTTATGCAAAAAATGAATTTGTGATGTGTAGTGTACAACATTCAAATTATATTGAACAGTAGTGTATTTATCATATATTTGAAAATGACTATATACTTCATAGTATAATAATTTTTAAAGGATTGAAGTTCTAACACACTCTGATAAAATCTTGAATACTTATATATTCAAAGTAGTCATGCAACAAGGCCCTTTTTAGTATAAAAAATTTACAGGAAAGTTCCGGAGTGAAAAAATTAATAGAGATGAAAATTAGATTACCAGAAGCTAAAGAAATTCAGGAAGAGGGAGGAATTACAACTTGGTTAGAATGAGATAGAGGGAGTGGTTACTCAGTATTGAGGATATAATTATTGTCACTAATTGTTCTAATTACAACAGTTCTGTGATATGTACTTTAGCTAAAGGAATCAATTTTAAATAAGCATAGTTTGATGCATGTACTTTAGTGAAGTAACTATTACAGTTGGATGCATCATTCATAGGGAATTGTGTCTATAATGTGCAACAAAATGATTCTCTTTATGATAGTTTTTAATTTATAGATGTTTAAATGTGCATGACTCAAAATAGTTCACTATAAAAAAAATCACTCTTTTTAAAAATATAATCAACCAACGGTGTCTTGCAAACTTTGCAATTTTAGTAACAAGAACACTGCTACACATTTGCTTAAATGTTTGGTTTTCAAATTTAATTTAGTTTTCATTTTTTATTAGTCCATGTTAGCGTACATAATGACTGCTGTCGCTGTGGATGCTTGACACCTGTACACGACACCCTTAGTGCTTTCTTTGTTCCCGTCTTTCATCCCACACACTCATCTGTCTCATGGGCTCCTTCCCATTGCAAAGATTCCCATTTGCAAAAGAGCTAGCTCCCTACTACCTTTCATCTATCTGTTATTTTGCTCTTTGATTTATAAACATTTTTTGTTTCCCATATAAAAGGAACCCTATGGTATTTCAGCGTGTGTGTCTGTTTTTTTCACTTTTCCTGTGACTCTGAACTGTACCCATTTCCCTACAAGTGACTGCAATTTATCCTTTATGGCAGAGTAGCACTCCATTGTATTTCAATGCCATATTTTCTTCATTCGTTCTTCTGCTGATGGACATAGAGACTTTTCCAAATTGTGCTGCTATAAACATGAGTGTGTGGATCGGTGTAGTATGATGTCTAACACTTCTGGCAAGACACCTACTGGAAGAAGAGGGGGATGAAATGAGTTTCCACTCTGAGTTGTTTGAGGGATACACTTAGTGAGTGTATGAGGTTACTTTCCAGTGAACAGTGCAGGAGGGGTCTTTCTTCGCAGGCTGCCCAGTATATGTCACTCTTTTGTGTCTTGATGATCACCATGCTTAGAAGAATGAATGGTATTGCTGCTGCTTTAATGTGCATCTCTAAAATAACCAGCAATTTTGAGGATCTTCTCATGTATTTATGGACCGTTTGTACTTCTTTTGCTGAGACGTGTCTCCTCATTTCTGATGCTCATTTTATGATTCTATCTTTTATTTTAGGGGAGTCTGAAGTTTTTGAGTTCTGCATATATTCTTGATCTTAGTCTTCATTCAGAGATGAGGCTAGCAATTCTTTCCCCCAAATATAAATGGTTTTTGTTCAATTTTAGGGTTGTTTCTTTTGGTGTACACAATCTTTTGAATTTGCTATAACCCCATTTGTTGATGCTATTTGTTGTGTGATTGTTTCTTTTCAGAAATGACTTCCTTCTATCTATTGCTGAGAAGAATGCATATTTTGTAGTATTAAGATAGAAGCACTAAGTCCATTTTTGAAATATGTGGTTGAACCCTGATATTTCTTTGATAATTCTCTGAGTTAATCTATTTATGAAATTGGGGTATTGAAGTCACCCACTGTGATCTTATTGGTGTTTATTTGATTTGTATATCCAGTAGTATTTGTTTATGAAGTTAAGGGCACGAATATTCAGCGCATACATGTTTAAGTTGTTTTTCTTCCTGCGAAATTGTTCCTTTTACTAATATATAGTGACCATATTTGCTTGTTCTGATCAGTTGTTGGTTGAAGTTCACTTTGTCTGAGAATAAAATATCTACTCTTGCTTGCTTTCAGGTCCCTGGTACATGGAATATTTTTTTCTATCATTTGATTTAATCTATTCATTCTTTAAATTAGATGAGTCTCTTGAGTGCAACAGACTGTTGGGTTCTGCTTTTCGAACAAGTCTTAAATCTGTGCTGCTAATAAAGGAATTTAAGCCATTTCATTGTGACTTACTACTAAATGATATAGATTTGCCCCTCCATTTACATTCTTTTTCAGTTGATGTGTAAAATCAGAATATTGTGTTCACACAAAAGAGTAACCCATCACTAGAAATCTATTGTACTGTTTCCAAATATCACAAAACACATGTATCTGCTCTTCTATATGTATTACTCTTCCTTGTTTCCAATCTGTTCACAATTCTGCAGCCTTCTCTTGTGGTATTTGAACATCTTCAAAACTATTGTTCTTATCATAACACAAAAACAATTTAAACATTCACTCATTTTTTTGTGACATTTACAATGTGAGAAGTGTCAGAAGGGTCAATATTTAAATATACTGTAAATCCATGGAGGAAAACAGAGAAAGTTATAGTTTGTGTTATATGGGTAGAACTCACACTGTTTGAGAATTGTAAGAGAAGATATTGCGTAGTTTTCCCAGTGACCTTTGCAGGGCATCTTTTACATCTTTATTTCTCAAGCTGTAGATCAAAGGATTCAACATGGGGATGACCAGGGTGTAAAATATGGAAGCCACTTTGTCAGTGTCTTTGGAGTGACTGTCCTTGGGCTGCACGTACATAAATATCAAAGTCCCGTAGAACACTGTGACCACGGTCAGGTGGGACCCACAGGTGGAGAAGGCCTTGCGCCTGCCCTCCGCAGAGTTCATCCTCAGAATGGCTATGAGGATGAGAAGGTAAGACACAAGGATAATCAGAAGAGAGGAAATTAAATTCAAAGCTGATAAGAATAAAATTATCACCTCAGCTTCATACGTGTCTGAGCAGGCCAAGGACAACAATGGAAGATTGTCACAGTAGAAATGACTGATGATATTGGATCTACAGAAGGACAAAGTGAAAACCTTCATGGTGACCAGAAGAGACACAAATGTGCAGTACAGGTAGGACATTGCCATTAACACCCAACATTTTTTTTGTGACATGATGATATTGTAAAGGAGAGGGTGACAGATAGCCACATAGCGGTCATAGGACATAGCGGCCAAAATTAAAAGTTCACAAGCAATGAACAAAAGAAAAAAAGCTAACTGCATAGCACAACAGTGATAGGAGATTGTATTTCTATCCACAGTGAAATTTTCCAACATTTTGGGTCCCACTGCTGTGGAATAACCAAGGTCTGTAATTGCCAAATGTCTGAGTAAAAAGTACATGGGTGTTTGCAGCCTGGAGTCCACCTGGGTGAGGACGATCATGCCCACATTGCCCACCAGTGAGGTCAGGTAGATGGCGAGGAACAGCACAAACAGTGGAGCCTGCAGCTCAGGACGGTCTGTGATGCCCAGCAGAATGAATTCTGTCACCGCGGTGAGGTTGTGCTCCTCCATCCAGACTGATCAGAAAAGCTATTCTGTGTGGATATGTCAGCATTAGTCCAAAGTGTTCCATTATTACTACCTGGACAAATTTATTACACAGAGGCTGTGCAAACATAATCTATTGAAAATTTCCAATGGACAGTATTTTAAAATATGCCTACCTTGCATTAAAAAGAACATTATTCATTTCCAGAAATACATTGGTTATCTTGGGAAGAGAACTGTCTCCGGCACCTAATGGCTACAGGAAAGTCAGACTGTTAAACATCATATTATAGTCACTTTGGAGTTTAAAATAATGTCCACATCAGCAAGCTTTTCTAAAATTGAGGAAATATGATAGGTAGACAGATTGACAGGTAGATAGATGATACTTGGTATAGAGATACTTATGTGCAGATTTAGGTGTCTAAAATGAATACAGATAAGTTAATAATGATTGTATTGTTCCTTAAGTTTCATGATTGTCTTTTGTATAATAACAACTCCCTAATGACCCTGACTGGGTATATTCAATGAGGTGATATTCACCCTGATTATAAAAACATCATTGTATGGTGATACCTCAAGAAGCTAAAACTAGAAATTCCTTTTGACCCTGCTACCCGCCTCTAGGTGCCTTCCTAAAAGAAAGACATTGTGTCACAGTGATTATGCATACTCATGTTTACATATTAGCTAAACCTTGGAAACAGCCCATATATTCACAATAGAAGAATAGATAAAGAAAAGGTGATATTTCATATATTACAACCCTACTGTAAAGAAAGATAAACTTGAGTCTTTCGCAGGAAAAGTTTGTCACTTCAGACTGTATGTGAAATGAAATACAACATATACACAAGATTAAATATCTCAGGTTTCTCTTATAAGAGAGACTCACCTTGGATTTTGCAGTTTAGGGTCTCCAAGTTCTAAACCGAAAGGAAGAGCTAATATTTTCCTGGGCAAAGACTGGTCTTGGTAGAGCTATAGGAAAAGTTCTCAGTGCCCCCCATAACGTACTGGTTCTTTCTTGCTGTCTCACCCGACATGGTGTTTCTGACAGTCCCTCTCCTCTCCCAGTGACAGTGGAGACCCGAGGCAAAGAAGTGCAAGCATTATTGCTCTCCACACACACTTTTCTCACCTTGGCATGTACGGTAGTCATTCAGTATTTGTATGTGTTGCTAGAATTTACATTGTATAATAGTGAGATTTTAATGTATTCTTCATGTTTTTAAAAATTGTGTATGTGTGTCTTGCTTGGATTATTTGACTTATAATAAACCATCCTTGAAGTTTGTAAAAAAAACAAAAAGAGAGAGAGAGAGAGAGACTCACCATATTAAAAAAAACAGCAAAAGTAAGGCAGATAGTAGGAAGGGGAAAGAGAAAAGAAATCAAAATATGTCATGTACAAGTACCAACTTTACACAAAGAATGAAAACCTTATGCATTGTAAACATGTAATAATAAAAATAAGATGAATAAGTATGTATTTTAACACCTCATCATGAGGTGGAATTCCATTTCCTCATTAAGGGATCAGGAATGAATCATATTTTATACATTTACTTGTGTAATTACTAAATGCTAAAATAATTTCCAATAACTCACAAAAATATATAGAGTCAGAGTTAACTGGGCAGGGGCTGGGGATTTAGTTCAGTGGCACAGTGCCTGCCCTGCAAGCACAAGGTCATGAGTTCGATTCCTGGTACCAGAAAAAACTTTTTAAAAAATTAACTGGGTATTGGAAGAGCTTAGTAACTGGCTCAATCACTGAAATTTCAAAGTGAGGCATTATGCAAAATTATGCCCTATTTTTATGCTGTATCTCCTCTCAATTTTGGCCACGGTTACATTATATTAGTTATATGATTATACATGATATATATTTTTGTATTTTCTAAGCAAACCTACACTGTATGCATGCCCATGAGCTCATAAGCATTCATCCTCTCAGACTAGGTGAAAATGTTCCAAATAAAAATCAAGATTAAAGGAGAGTTTTCCTGTTGTTGTTCGGGAATTACGCACTGGTATAAAGTACAGAATCAGAATTACAAACACTCTTCATTAGATGGCAAAGCCAGAGCAAAACTGTGCTCATTTCTGCAGGTATCGGTACATCAGTTTATCATACGGCAACACAGGAAGCCTTCTGTCTTGTTACCTGTAATGAAAACTTGCTCTTGAGTCTTCTGCGCATGTGTCTTTTAACATGGAGCCTGAGGTTTTGAGGGCAATTTATTTTTCTAGAGAAGCTTCTAAACCTCTCCCTGAGGAGATGCCAAGCAATTTTGCTGCTTATGCTTGAAGCCTTTGGGAATTTAATCCAATATCTGGAGGTTATCCACTAATTCTGATGACTATATTCAACAGTGCCCTTCTGCCATTTATTAGTTATTTAGCTATGTGTTTATTTCACAGTCCAGTAATGCCAGTTATGGGGCACTATCCAAAGTACTAGCCTTAAGATCCCAATGAGGATTTCCTGCTCTCATATCCATTGCAATGCAGTATGAAGTATTCAAGCTGTGGGAAACTTAGTTACCCATTTGCAGATGAGTACAGAAATAAACTGTGATGGATACACACATCACTCGGTGTTTGTTTAGAAAAAACATCCAGCAATGTGCAATAATATAGGGACAGTTGGTCATAGTCTACAATCCTGGTGGGGTCCTGATAGCTGTGTGCTCCAGTACAGCAGTGGTATAGCTGGGTGAGATGTATGCCCCTTCCTGAGATGGTTCAGTAGTAAGGATGAACTGGAGAACATTATGCTAAAGAGAATGAACCAGTAACAAGGCAAGTACTGTATATTCCCACCTGCACAGTATAAGATACTGAACATACTCAGACTTATAGAATAGAATATGAAAATACAATCAAGGTGGCAAAGGTCAAAGGTTTGGGAGAAACAGGGAGCTGGTAATACATAGCCAGAAAATTTCAATTATGCAAAATAAAAGAATACCAGATATTTGCTATAGAGCAGTCTAGTTATGTTTAACATGACTGCATTGTATATTTGAGTACTTTGAGTGTATACTCCATGGAAGGCATAATCATTTTTAAAGGAATGAAGCACCAACACACTCTGTAACAAAAACTTGAATAAAACTGATTCAAGGCAATCAGGCAACCATGATCCTCTCTGCTATAAATAGTTTAGAAGAAATATCCAGAATAGAAAAACAAGTAGGGATGAAAAACAGGTTAACGGGGGCTGAAGAAATTCAAGAAGTAGAAGGAATTACAACTTGGGTACACAGTGTAAACAGAAGTATCTCAGAATTAGACAGAGGTCCTTGTTCCTCACCATTGAGAATATAATGCCTACCACTACATGCCTCTCTTTGAAACAGTTCAATGGCATGTGAATTTTTATGGCATGTGTATTATCTAAATAAATCAATTTTAAGTAAGCAGACACAA